TTAGTGTATTGGCTACCTAGGAGTAATTTTTTATATAAGGATAAAAATAATTAAAGAAAACTAATATGTCTCTAATAAAAGTCTTGCCCTAGAGACTTATTAGAACTATTCTACATGTGATTTAAATAGGATAGTATTATTGGATAGATAAAACTCTAAACGACCAAAGTAAGGGGCAACAAAGAAAAAAAAAGTGAGATAGAGGGGGAGAAGGAAAAGAAAAATGGAGAGTTGGATTCATTAGAGGTATGTGGAAGCATTACTTATTTTATTAGTTTTGTATAATATACTACACTTTAATATATATTTTAAAAGAATATTAGAATTCTAAGATTTAAGTTTACTTAAAAATACACTAATTTTTTTTTATAAACATGAAAAATTTATTGTGATTGAAGAATTATGTTTAATTTAACATAAATTATTTTAAAAAAACTACATAAAAGATTTTTTTTATCTTAAAAATGAAACGGTTGAAATTATGGATAAAAAAATACACATATAAATATAATGTTATCCTTATATTTGAAATGAGTAACGTTAGATTGATGAAGTTTTTAAATATTTTTTAAACATTTTATTGAAAACTGTNCCTTATATTTGAAATGAGTAACGTTAGATTGATAAAGTTTTTAAATATTTTTTAAATATTTTATTGAAAACTATAAGATGCATATATTTTTTAAGGGTAACGTAGTCAATTAAAAAATTTCATAGATACTAATACTTATATATAATGAATAGTTAATTAAAAGAGATATTAGGGGTAATTTGGAGATTTGAACACATAAGTATATGATGGTAATTTAGATATTCAATTATGGAAGAATAGTATGGTATTTAAAATTATTTATAAGAGTAAAACAATGAATCAAAAGTTTTTCATTCTAAGGTACTTTTTTTAGTAATATAAATTATTAGTAGTATAAATGAAAGTTATGAAGCACGGACACTCTCGAGAAGGTGACGTATTCGTGTCGGACACGTGTCAAACATCGACACTCTTCAGACACTCTTGGACATGTGTCCGATACTCTTTATCCATGTCCATAATTAAATAATAAATTTTTAATTTCGGACATGTATCGGACACTTCTTTGGTAACGTGTTCGNGTTATGAAGCACGGACACTCTCGAGAAGGTGACGTATTCGTGTCGGACACGTGTCAGACATCGACACTCTTCAGACACTCTTGGACATGTGTCCGATACTCTTTATCCATGTCCATAATTAAATAATAAATTTTTAATTTCGGACATGTATCGGACACTTCTTTGGTGATGTGTCCGACACTTCTTTACAATGTGTCTACTACTAAACAATGGACATGTATTGAAATGTGATTAACAAAGTTTAAAAATTTTAAAACTTATAATTACTAACACTAGTCATGTTAAAATTGTACTCCAAATATAATAATAAAAACAAAAGATGCATAAAAGTTTAGAAAATAAGAATTGAGAAAATGAGAGCAATTATTTAAATTATATATTAGATACACATTGACTACAAAAAATTTGATGATTATTGACGATTATGAGGATGTTTTAGTCTAAAAATTCATACAGATGACTAGACATTAGATTTACTTATCATAAAATTCTGAATCTTTTATGAATTATATATTATTATCACTATATTTGCAATAAATTATATAATACTATATATAGAATATAATTTTTTTTTTAGCATATCTCCAACGTGTATGTGTTCTACTTTTTTGAGAAATGTCATGTCTGTGTTGTGTCGTATCCGTGTTCCGTGTCCCGTGTCCATGCTTCTTAGGATGAAAGAAATACACATATATAGACATAATATTCTTTTTTTATTTGAAAAGAGTAATGATCTATTGATAGACTTTTTGAACATGTTATTGAAAACTATAGTGATGCATATNATAATATTCTTTTTTTATTTGAAAAGAGTAATGATCTATTGATAGACTTTTTGAAAATGTTATTGAAAACTATAGTGATGCATATATTTTTTTAAGGGTTGCATAGCCAATTAATTTTTTTTATAGATGTTGATGTTTATACAAGCATAATAGAGAATTAAAAGATATATTAGAGGGTAATTTAAAGATTTAAATACATAAGGTTGTTATTGTAATTTAAATATTAACTATGTAAAGATAATATGGTATTTAAAATTTTTTATTAGGGTAAAATAGTGAAGGTTTTTCACTTAAGGTACTTTTATTAGTAGTATAGATTTAGGTATATCATTGTACGACTAGGAAAAAAAATATCATTAAATCTGAATATTACAAACAAGTGATAAAATGAGGTTTAATCATACACGAAAGTGAAGAGTTTTGAACCTGCAAGTCGGACTTCCATTTCTCTCATACTGCTAGCTTTTAAGTGACGTTGAACTTGTGTTACCTAATATTCTCAGTGTACAGGCGTGAATGCAATGTTTCATCATTACTACTATTTTTTGNGGTTGAACTTGTGATACTTAATATTCTCAGTGTACAGGCGTGAATGCAATGTTTCATCATTACTACTATTTTTTGCATGGATTTTATATAAACTGGTGGAGAGTCTTCCTGCCTGTATTTTTGTGTGGGTGGAATAATTGTGTCTTAATTTGCAGGCAACATGACGATCTTACAAAGANTGCATGGATTTTATATAAACTGGTGGAGAGTCTTCCTGCCTGTATTTTTGTGTGGGTGGAATAATTGTGTCTTAATTTGCAGGCAACATGACGGTCTTACAAAGACGTTGAATGCTTCTGGATACAAAGACAAGGTTCCCCAACGTATTCATGAGGAGAATGTAGCCAAGCTTGCCACACTCATGCAAGAACTCCTATCCTTTGAACAAGCTAGCCAGCATTTAGAACGTGAAATTGGAGAAGCGTCTACAACTGATAACAACTGATTCTTATATTCTTAGCAATGGCTGGGTAATCTTACAGAGGCCCATCTAAAGGTAAAATTGCTTTGAATATTATATTGCCTTCTTTTAATTTCGTAATATCATTATTAGGTGGCAGCATACTGCTGGGTAATCTTACAGAGGCCCTTCTTAAGGTAAAATTGCTTTGAATATTTTATTGCCTTCTTTTAATTTCGTAATATCATTATTAGGCGGCGCCATACTATCAAAATTTATCAAAACTATTCACTATTTATGACAGAATAAGNGCTTTGAATATTTTATTGCCTTCTTTTAATTTCGTAATATCATTATTAGGCGGCGCCATACTATCAAAATTTATCAAAACTATTCACTATTTATGACAGAATAAGTAGAGAAATGTTTAGATCACAAAAGTTACTTTAAACTCGCCTGTATGTTTAAAAGAGTGTCTTGGATTTGATCTAAAGACTTTATTTGGAGGAAAGAAAGAAGTATTAAACTTAAAATTTTAATGTATTATAAGGAATTGTTTTCTTTATTACTGTTAAAAGATGGAATTGATTTTCTTCCTATGCTATACCAGCATTTACCCCAACACTAGACGCAAACCAAACAATTAGATGAATTAAATGTTAATTTGATGTATGTGAANCGCAAACCAAACAATTAGATGAATTAAATGTTAATTTGATGTATGTGAATATTAATTTGATAAAAATTAAGGTTAATTTAGTGTTAATTTGGTGTTAATTTGAAAAAATTAAATGTTAATATGATGGTGCAGTGATGTGTGTAAATAAGGTAGGAAAGGGAACATGTTGCAAACAGTTGTGTAAGTGGAGGCAGAAATAGGGTGGAGTGGTCATGAGGATAGGGGGTAAAATTGATATTTTATGAAGAAAATGATGGTGATATCACTCTTTTTATAGTTGTCAGTGACAAAGGGTGTAAAGTGAATATGTGATCTAGAAGGGAGTACGGTAAAATTTTAGAATTAGAATAGGGTATTGCTAAAATTAGGACTATTATAGGGAGTGTCGATGAAATATACCCAAATATTTATTGGCCATTCAGCCAGTTCTCTCTTCTAGATTGAAACCAAAGAAAGAAGGACAAAAAAAAATAAAATAAACCTCAATTTCATAGGCAAGTTCCAGCATAGGTAGGAGATATACATCATATCCATGCAGACAAAGCTGCACAAGCACACCACTTTCTCCTTTGTCATTATATTGCCCAACATATTTGTCAACAGGAAGAGCATATCCTAGTCCCATATTTAATTGAATCAGATTTAACGGTGTGAGCTATTGGTTAGTTCAAGTAGTAAGGAAAATAAACAGTAAATTTGTACGTTTTGAGTTCAAATTTTAACAACTCTTTGGGGTCAGACCATAAAAGACTTATTCTTTATTAATACTTTAGTTTTGACATTTTTAATCAGACTGGAGACGGAGACGAGATTAATTGTGGAGGCTTGACTATGACATATGACTTGTGAAGAAAAGTTACACATAATTAATCAAAACTTCAATACTAACCACAAACAAGTACCACACAAGTATCATTCACTCACTCACTCTTCTTTTACACTAATTTTTTGGAACATGTTCTACATATGTATGTTCCTATCATTCATCCCGTACTAGTAAAAAATATAAGTACGGATTAAAATTCTTAGCATTAACCCATACTTTCACTATCATAATTACTTCAATTCAACCGTATTAAATATAATAACTCCATAATGACACGTCATCATCAAATTCAAGTCCATCTCTACCATACCCTTCTGCCACCCAACAGTGAGGTGGTGGTGGTAGCATCAACCCTTCCGCCAAGCTTGAAAGCAATTCTGGCATGTGGAAAACCACCTCCTCATCCGTATCAAACATGTTCTCCTCAGACAATGTCACCGCGCTTTCCTCATTATAACCATGATCATCACCGGAGACTGCCACACTCCCGTCGGCCTTTGATGGCCGAAATGCCTCCGCCGCTTCTGCCGCCGCTTGTTGAATGTCCTTAGCCTCCACAGAAGCCGGAATTGGTAATCTCCAAGCAGAGTCAGCAAAGTTCAGGCAAGCTGACCGTCCTCTAAGTGCTATCGCCGCCACATCATGAGCTCTCGCTGCCATTTCTGCAGTTGGGAATGTTCCAAGCCATATTCTTGATTTCTTATTCGGTTCTCTTGTCTCACACACCCACTTGCCGGAGTTCCTCCTCCTAATACCCCTATAAACCGGGTGGCGAGTCTCCTTGAACTTCTTCCGACCAGCACGCTTCTTAGGATGATCTGAAGCCAACATTACCTCCTCGTCTGAATGGTTATCTCTAGTAGCACTACCACCATCGGACACCAATGAAGATTCGGGCATGTCAGGTTGCAAGAAATCTGACCCAAATGGGGTTGGTTCAGTAAAGTAGCCTGAGAAAAACTCCATTGATAGCTGTATAGAAGTTCAGTTGAGGTTTTTGAGCGAATGGGTATCAAGTACACTCCTCCTTAGAAGCACTTGCTACTACTGGGTTTGAGTTGCTGTTGTTTTTGGGGTGCATGGGGTTGAGTATATATATAGATGTCTATATGGATAATTTGATGATTATGTGTGTGTGTGTCGGGGATGCGGAATGCTTTGATGAGAAGCCAGGCTGGGTGTCAACAGGGCTGTAAGCAATTTGAGTGGTGTGTATTAAAACCCAGATGTTTGTGGGGCTCACCATCGGACTTCGTTTGATATTTATTAGTTTTTGTTGTGTCTTACACGTATGGGGGGGGTGACGTGGCAGGTGGATATTTTGTTGTGTGGTGGAGGGGTGACGTGGCAGGTAGATATTTTGTTTGAAATTGGCAACAACAGGAGATTGTACCTTGAAATCAACTGACACTGGTCGGTCACACAAGTCTATAAAGAATACAATAAACCAGTTGCTTTCATGGATAAAAGTGAACGGAAACTGTATACTTCCGAATCTTCGTGTCGTGGGATTTATAATTCCCAAACTAAACTATACCATCTAAATATATAACGCTCATGCAATACTCGAACTCAAAATATTGCAGAGTAAAAAATGTCAATTGTCATAATTAAAATAGTTCAAAAAGTATTTTTGTCATTAATTATTAAATATTAAGTTATATTGGTCTTTTGGAATATACAAAGTGAAATATATCAAATATTTTAAGAATAAAAAATTATGTACAAGAGACACCCAGGGGAACAAAGAATCTGTCGTGTACGAAAGAAACAAAATAATCATTTTTGAAGTGAACTCATGAAAATGACCGGTAAGTATCAGTGTGTGTACTGACATTTTTCCTTTGTATTTTCCTACAATCCAGACAAGGAAAGGTTGGGGCTAGTGGGGTTCTTGAAGATGATATGACGGTTTGTCCTAACCTGACTAAGTCCTCTGTGACGGCTTGAAAGGGGTTGGAGTTGTGCACCACACCAACGATGATTTGGCGTCCACTATGGATGTGTTTTGAAATCCTCAACTTTAAAACTTTTATTGGTTTCTATCAAATTTAAGAAAAATGTTACGTTATTATTATTTTGAGGCGTAAATTATAATTTTAAAAGATATAATCAATTATAAAAGATTAGAGTTGATACTAAATTTTTTATGATCGATTATAAGTGTTTGTGGTTGACCGGTTTTTTTTTTTCAGTACCGTAGAATTTATCAAAATTTAATGTCCAATTATAACATTTATTGGGTCTAATTTTAAGTGTTGTATGAATCAAACGCATTGGAGTTGATTGAAATTTGACAAAATCGCTAAATTGGAAAAAAGTATATCATTAGAAATTGCATCTGTTAGATCATCTTCAATGGAGGTCCATAGTATTACCCAAATTTGAGTTTAAAAAAATAAAAATAAAAAGCTTGATTCGGTATAATAGTCTCCAATGGGTAAACCCTTTTTAATACCCAAATCTTCTTTAAAAATTCCCTGCTTATTCTAAGAGGTTTTTTTTTTTTTTTTTAATCATTTTTGCATCCAAAACTTTTTTTTACTCCTATTTTTTTTTCATAACAAAAATTGTGAAACATATTCCACGAACAGATATTTTTCCACTCCACAATAAGCAAAGCAAATCAATGAAACCCATATAAAAACAACATATTTTTCTCATTCCAGATTTCTCCCATTCCACCGAATAAAAATCTGTCTCTATGCGTGTGTAGAAATAAGCTTGGGTAGAAGAAGATTTTAAAGAAATCTGTGTAAAGATACAAATCAGTTATATAAATCCACTTTTTGTTTAAATAAGCTTGTGTAAAAATCTGTCTCTGTCCCATTCCATAGAACATTGAGTAGTGAAGAGAGGAGAATGGTGTTTGGATCACCGTGATAGGATTAGGCTTGGATTCAAATCCAATCCAATCTAATGTAAAGTGGTCCGGATTAGAGGATTATATAGATCGGATTCAAATCCTATCCCATCTTTGGATATGTTTCATTTGATTTGTGGGTCTCATTCATATGTGAAGATAAAATATACTAAAATGACTATTGTACCCTTGTGTAAAAAAAAGGTTATCCAATCTTATACCATGTTTGGAATGAAATGAAAAAAAGTTCAATTCATTAGTATTGTCTTATTTAGGAAACAAAAATATGAATCAATAAATAACACATTTTTACAAAATATTGCAATAAATGTTTTGTTCATTTATTTAATTTAATTTGTACAATACACTTATAATCAAAAAAATCATATGCATCATGAAAAAATAAAATAATAATTTTCAATAGAAAAACAATATATAAATTGATACAACTCATGCCTAAGTCATTATTTGTTTCTTTCTATAAAATCCGAAGTTGTGTGTTTAAAAATAAAACTTAATTATTTTTTTTCAATAAATAGTAAAATTAATCCAAACCATATTAAATTTTTTCAATAATCCAAATGCAATTTATTTTCCATGAATTTTAGGGTATTTTAATATTATTGCCTGAATTAATGGCACAAATCAATTCAATTTAAATTATGTTGGTTTACTTAAAATCTTAATTTTTTAGAGTTCATATATAATGAAACAAATGGATGAGCATAAATTTTTAACATCTTAAAAATTTAAAATGTAATAAGACCCAACATCAAAGAACAATTGTGATTTTTTAATAAGACTCAAACCCTTTCATTCAAAGTTGACTTAAACCAAAAAATTTCACACACTTACTTTCAAATCATGTGCTTGCATGCTACATTATCTCAATTGACAGAGAATTTCTAACGATAGCAATTAAGTTCAAAAATATAAGAGAATTATGTGTTAATTTCTGAACATAGGGGGTAAGATGCAAACAAACCGAACCACTAGGGTATAAACTGGATTTTAATTTGATTAAATTGCTCATCTTCCAGATGTTTCGCCTTCTCCAGATGAATTCGGCTTCTCCAGATGCTTCAGACAGAAAGAGTGAGACAGAGAGAGAGAGAGAGAATTCTTTCATATTTTCGGCTTCTCTAGATGCTTCAGTCGTTATTTTCTTTGATATATCCTTTGATCATTTTATTGTACATGAAGATTTTTGTACTGGAGGCTTTGAAACACATTGAGGGTAAGAGAAGAACAAGGGATTCTTGGAGGTAGCCCCAAAATTGAGAACTGGGCCAATGACAATTGGGTTTTTGACTAGGTGAAATTTGAGGAGGTGGGCATGGATTTGCTTGGATGACTTATGGCTGGGAAGTTCCAACAATGAAGAAAATCAAACATAGAGATCCTGTCATGGCAAGAGAGAGAGAGACAGACAGCGCTTTAACCTCAGCATCCACTGTTATGGGGGCAATATAGTAAATTGATATATTATCCGTTTGGTGAGAAACTTTGTCCCACACAACANTAGAGATCCTGTCATGGCAAGAGAGAGAGACAGACAGCGCTTTAACCTCAGCATCCACTGTTATGGGGGCAATATAGTAAATTGATATATTATCCGTTTGGTGAGAAACTTTGTCCCACACAACACATGGGTTACTGATATCCTCTTCGGGAGGGATAAATGGTAGAGTTTCCTACGGCCGATGAATTGAAAGCCAACGTTTATCCTCCCCCGTTTTTTCTATCCAAAGCAAGGATATGTGGGTCCCGGATATGTTTATCCAATCCAACTAGTTTTATCCCTGTTTATCCCTCAAACCAAACACCACCAAAGAGTTTACCCTAAAGAAATAGTGGCGACCGTTGAGATCTTGGGTAGNTCCCGTTTTTTCTATCGAAAGCAAGGATATGTGGGTCCCGGATATGTTTATCCAATCCAACTAGTTTTATCCCTGTTTATCCCTCAAACCAAACACCACCAAAGAGTTTACCCTAAAGAAATAGTGGCGACCGTTGAGATCTTGGGTAGGAGACGAGACCAGCAACCATTGCGATCTTGGGTTGAAGAGAAGTGTGAGATTAGAGTAATACTAGGTGAACTTAAAAATTAAACTTGATAATCTCAACTATTGATTTTATTGTGGGTCCCAACATTTATTAGGACTCACTACCTATTCAATGGTTGAGATTATCAAGTTTAATTTTTAAATTCATCTAGCATTACTCGTGAGACTAACGTAAAAGACGAAGTCAATCCGGACGCATTTGGTAATTTATTTCTGTTGGAAAAAAAAAAGTATGATATTTGGGTCTCCCTTCATTTGGGTTTAGAAAAGGGCTTTCTTTCATTTGGTATGGGGTATGAGTCTGTCATTGAAAACGAATTTTATGTCATTTTTACCCTAATTTAAATTAGGATTCAAAACAAGGTCCTGTCTAGAGATGCTTTTAGAGTTTAGGGTTTTGGGTGGGAGAGGAAAGCTAAACTAGAGTGTAACCCATCATGGGACAAATATAAAGAAGCAAGTGGGACTCAGCATCCTCAAACTCGAGTATGAAGATAAAATTTTAATGAAAAACATGTGCCAACAGATTACATAGACAGTGAGAGTCACGAGCATTCAAAAGACAATAGAAGATTACAAAGTGATAGTATGGATAAAATAGGTCAAACTCAAAATTATGTGTGATTATTGTTATTTGATTGATTCAAATCGGGTCAAATGATTAAAACTTATAACATTGTTATGAACTCTTTTAGTTTTTGACCATATTTCATCGTTTAGACTTTCAAATTTACCTTTTAATTTATCAATTTAAAAAATTTAAAAAATAATAATAAATCATAAGATATTTTGAATTTAGTATTGTCAATTTTGTTATATTTTAAATGACACGTGCTTTTATATTAATTTGTTGGATTGTAATTTTTATTTTTGACAAATTTCGTAGAATATTGGAAACAATTAGAATTCTAATCGTTCACACACACACACACACACACACACACATATATATATATATATTCTTTTATTTTTTTTGCCGATTCAAAATGTGCATTTTTTGCACAAAGAAACAATGATTTCTTTGTGTTCTTTATTNT